TGTAAGCAACCAAATGCTCTACAGTAAGGGGCAGATAAACTAGTACACACATACAATGAAATATTATTCAATGCTTAAAAGAAATGGCTATCATACATTAAAAGTCAGGGAGAAGCTGAGGTATATATTGCTAAGTGAAATATGCTGGAAAAGGCTAGATAATATATGATAGCAACTATTGTTTATGACATTCTTTTTTTTTGGTACCAGGGTTTGAACTCGGGTCCTTGCGCTTGCGAGGCAGGCAGCAGAAGCACTGAGCTAAATCCCTGGCCCTTGTTTATGACATTCTTGAAGAGACAAAACTATGGAAACAATAAAAAGATCAGAGGTTTCCAGGAGTTGGAAAGATCAAGGGTTGAACAGCAGAGCACAGAGGATTTTTAGGGCAGTGAAAATACTGCATATAATACTGTAATGGTGGATATATGTCATTACACATCTGTCCAATTCCATAGAATATCCAGTACCAAGAGTGAACTGCAATGTAATGCAGACCTTGGGGATAATTATGTGTCAGTTATAACAAATGTACCACTCTGTGAGTGTATTAGTTACTTTCCCATTGCTAGGACAAAATGCCCAATACTCATAACTTAAGGGAGGAGAGGTTTATTTTGCCTTATAGTTTCACAGGATTCAGTCCATAGTTGGCTCCGCTCCAAGGCAGAAGAAAGCTTCTCAATCCATGGCAGCCAGGAAACAGAGAGAGAAGAAAGGAGCCAGAGACAATCCACTGGTAAGTATAGCATCCTCATGACCCATTCACCTTCCCAAATCCTCATACTCTAAACATAGGAGAGTTTTGGGCGTTGTTTTAAGCTCAAATTTCCATAGTGGGGGAAGCTGATGGTAAGATCATGCATGGGTAAGGATAAGGAGTATATGAAAATTCTGCCTTGATTTTGATTTGAAACACTTTTGGCTTGATTTTATTGTGAAATTAAAACTATTCTAAAATATTCTATTAAAATATATATCTAAGAGCCATTCCAAGACCACCCATTGTACTAAGATCTGCAATCCTCACCATAGCCCGAAGACCACAGCATAATGAGGTCCTTGCCCACTTCTCCCTTGGCCACAAGGCTGCCACCTGACTCCTGAGCAGCCAGAGCCTCCCTTTTGCCAGGCTCTGCTTCCTGTTTGTGACATGGGTGGTTCCTTATCTTCAAGCTTCTATTTATACATCATTTTCTAAAGTCCATCCTTCTGGCTGTATTTTTGTCATGATCTTGTTTTTGCTTGAGTGGGTCTTACCCCACTGGATATATGTGTTCCTGGGATGGTTGGTTTTAGGTGTCAGCCTTGCTGGATGAAAGGATCCTGGAGAGCTGATGAAGTACTCCTTCGGGGTGTACCTGGAAACTCCAGGGCAGACTGGTGTGAGACTGAGTGAGGAAGATCCACCCTCCATGTGGGTGCCACCATCCACTCAGCCAGGATCAGGATAAAACAAACAAAAAAAGAGAGGAAAGGTGAATTTTCTCTTTTTCTTGGAATCAGGACACCTTTCTCCTGCCCTTGGACATCAGAACTCCAAGCTCTCTGGCCTTTGGAGTTTGGGACTTATTACCAGTAGCCCCTGAGCTGTCAAGTCTCCTTCCCTGGTCTAAGAATCACATCGGCTTCCCTGGGCCAAGACTTTTGGGCTTGGACTAAACCATGATACCAGCATCCTGGTCTCTAGCTTATAGACAGACAGTTGTGGGGCTTCTCAGCTTCTGATTTCCATGACCAAATTTCCCTAACAAATCCCCTCTGTATAGCTGCATATACCCTAATGGTTCTGTCTTTCTGGAGAACCCTAATACAGTTTTTCACTGGAACAGATACTTCATGATGACAAAGACCTTCCCCACCAAGCTATAAACATCTGACACAGAGCCAGGACCACAATCAATGTTTGCTAAATAAAATAGGGAAGATGCCTGTCCTGTTCGTGGCAGAATTGCAAAGCCTATCAGTATGCATGATACCCATCAGACACCTACCAGAGGATATATCATCATCACTTCAGTTTGTTGGAGGTCTGAGGGGCAACTTCCAGAAATGAGGAACAGCTAGTCCAGTCTGCCTGCCAAGATTCTGACTCCCAGACCAGACCATCTTCCCAACGTCTGAATCCCCTACAATGCTCTGAAAACATGTGCCTTCATTGGAAGAAAGAACACCAAAGCTTCCATGTGTGGTTAAGGAGGGGCTCCTGTTCCTTGCTCCCTGTGTTTACTGAGGGGTGGGGATTCTCACTGCTCCACAGCTGGAGTGGAAGGAGAAAGAGCCCTCCTGTGTGAAGCTACAGGCCTGGAGAACACCACCATGCGCAGGTGCAGTAGATATGTCAGTGAGTCCTGACAGCAAATGTGAGAGCTGGTATTGTGGAGGTCATGTTCTCTGCCCATGGTGCATTTACTTCAGAAACCAATAACAGAATATCTGGGGAGCCCCCATAATTTTGGAAATTTAAAGACACTTTCAAACAATTCAGTGATCAAAGAAGAATTATAATGAAAAATATGTGGAATAAAACAATATGGAAAAAAAGAAAAAAACTGGTTCATAAGAAAAGTTCAAGGCTCACTGAGCATCCACTAGGCCTCAGCCATGGTTTCAAGCTCGAGAAGAACTCCAGGAACAAAGCCAAGTCCAGGCCTCAGTTCCCAATCAGTCCACAGTGCTGAGCTTAACAATTTGTGGGTGATGCCTAGACACCATCGTGAGCCCAGGGATGCTATGGAGGAAAGGAGGGCAGGGAGCCGGGCTGGGAAGGGCTGCAAGGTTCACCAGGACCTGTGAAGGGGACAGGAGGATGGAGGGAAGTAATCCATGCAAAGGAGTCCTAATCTTCCTCTTAAGAGGTCTGGGCACATATTACCTAGTGACAGTCATCATTTTAATGCACAAAATGGACAGCGTGAACTGTTTAGTTAAGAAGAGAGTGAAGTGGGGGCCGGGGATTTAGCTCAGTGGTTTCGCCACCTGCTGTGTAAGTGCAAGGACCTGAGTTCGATCCCCAGTAACAAAAAAAAAAAAAAGAAGAGAGTGAAGTATGATTCATGTCAATCATGTCTTTGTAGAAAAAAAGAATCTGTTAAAGGCACTGTCTCAACAATATCCCCAGGAAAACACTGTAACACCAGGAAAGAATTAAGACTTCCTTTCTTATACCTCTGGCTGTCTAGAGAGCACAGGAGCTGCAAGGGAAGGGCAACAGTGCCAGCTGGTGCTAGGACAGAAAATGATCTCCCTGGGATCCCCATGCACAGGTGCAGAGAGCACTTCATGGCTTTGCCAGGTGGCGCCACCATCACAGCTTTAGGGCCCACTATCCACCTCTGCTCTGCAGGGTGGGATCCAACCTGGAGTCTCTCCAGCAAGATGGAGCTCAGCTCCCAGGAATACCTCTGTCCTAGGCTCTAGGAGCAGACAGACATTTAGCTCAGCTCCACCAATCACTGGTTTTATGCTGTTTTAGTAATGGGAACAAGGTGAGGTACAACGTACATTCTAGTGGAATAAGCAAGCAAACACCTGAGATGACACTAGGTAAGAGTAAGTTGTATGCAGAAAGCAAATCAAGGGAAGACACAAGGAGTGACCGGGGCCTTACTGCAGAGGGTGACCAGATAGTCTTTTGAAAATAATATTTAAGCTGACAGTCAGAAGCCAGCAGGCACAGTTTGTGGGCAGAGTCTGTGGACCAGGGAAAGAACCTGTGTGGAGTCACAGAGCCATCACACTCAGAGAGGAGTGCCAGGGCCAGGGGAAGACCTAGCCCCATGGCTGGAGACACATTCAATGGCTTGGGCTGGATTTTGAATGTGATGGGAAGGAAACCCCAGGCATTTCAGTCAGGGCAGTATTATCTTTCTAGTACTTAAAACACAAGTAGGGGAAGAAAGGGACTGGCTGGGAGACTTGGAGTAAATCAAGTGAGAAAGGACACATTTTTCAGGAAGAGTTTGGGACTTGCCATTGGTGAACTTAAAAGAAAGTCAACGATGACTCTCAGGTGCTTGGGTGCAATGGCTAACAATTACAGCCAACTCTTGACTGGTTTTTTGTTTGTTTGTTTTGTTTTTTGTTCTGTTGGACACACAAGCACACACACTTTCACTCAATCCTCACAAGTATTTTCCCTCCTGGGAAAATATCACTTTTTATAGATCCAAAACCCAAGGCACAGAGCAGACAGAGAAGGTGGCAAGTGGGCATGGGGTGGACCCCAACATCCCTGCTCCCCTGTACTCGACCTTGGCACCTGAGGACCTGAAAGGAGGGTGGGCCCTTTACTAAGGTGAAGAACAAGATCTGGACGATGGCAGTTCCAAGCCCCTCCATGAAGCACCTTCTGTAGGAGACGACTATTCACCCAGTAACCACCCAGAGCTGCTAGGCCCAGGTGTGGATTGTTGGTGAGTAGCTTCACAGGAGCCTGTGCCCTAAGCGCCACCATGGGCTGAGGCAAGCAGGGAGATGTGATGCTGGAGAGTCAGGATGTTAGAGGAGGAGTCTCAGAAGAAAGCTTCTTCTACCTCAAAATCCAAAGCTGATGGCACAGGAGGCACAAAGCAGGGCCTCAGGCTGCTCTCACCAAAGTGACAGGAGTACACTTATTCACTGACCTCTGCTCTGCATCTTGTCAGTAAAAATCACTTGTTGGCTTTGAACATCTATTTCTGCTCTGCCACTTAGTAGAGTTTATTCCTCTCAAGAGAAGCGTAACTATAATTTTCTAAAATGAATTTGGAGATGACTAGTGATCTCCACTTCCAATCCCTTTGGGGGACACAGAGTATGAGGTCCTGACTGGATTGTCAAGAATGTGTTTTAAGGACAAAGAAGTCCAGCCAGCCAGAGGCTCCTGGAGAGCAACCATCTGCCTCTCCTGGTCCACAGCCCAGAGTGCCACTGTGGGCTTGAGCACCAGGTCTGGGAGGCTGCCCTGACAAACAAGGACTTCCCCAAGCATGTTACAAAGAGGGACGCGGGACCCTTACCACAGCCTCTGACGTGGATGGGTACTGCTGCAGCCCTGGTCCGGGAAGGCTCTTCCTGGGACCCAACAGGTGCAGCTTCAACTTGCCAAAGAGGATCTTCAAAAACAGCAATGCATATGTGTGAGAGCTCCCGAGGGGAGGGAGTGAATGTCATCATTAGAGTCAAGGCTACCACGCAGAGGAGCTGTGCCCAAACAGATGTTACAAACATGCTTACATTCTCATTTGGTACTTTTCTTGGATTTAAAGTTTGACATAATGAATTTCAATGTGTTCATCACTTGTGAGAGAACATGAAACAATTTATATACTATTTCGACAATCAACATAAAATAATATTTGTAAATTCAGAATAAATCTCCTTTTAAACTCTTGAATAAAAAATATATTTCTGAAAGAACTAAAATTTAGCCTTACCTCTCTAAGTTGATTATTACTCATTATAAGAAACTGTTCTCCTGCAACAAAGTGGGCTTCTTGCTCCAATTTTTTGAGATGAGCCTAAAAATATGATAAATACAATTAATCTCATTCATAGTTTTCACATTAAAATTATTTAATTTAGTCATTAAACAATTCTCAACAAAAGATCTTAATGGAATAGAAACAATCTATACTTTACCAAAATGGACATTAAAAAGTATATTTTGACTCATGGGGGAATGTTCAGGTTCAAAGAATCACTCTCCCTCAAACCTAGGGAAATAAACTGAAAGAAGCAAAAATAATAATATGTCAAAATTTAGGGGCTGCAGATTTAGCTCAGTGGTTCCACCGCCTGCTTCACAAGGGCAAGGTCCTGAGTTCAATCCCTGGTTAAAAAAAAAAAATTTGGGAGGGCAAACATTAGAACTAGAAAAGGGATCCAGCATCACATGAAATAAGACAGGGAAAGAGAGATATAGAGCATAGGCTGTATCCAGAATATATCAAGATGTCCAAGTGCTAGATTCAGCAGCACATATACTAAAATTGGAAAGATACAGAGAATATTAGCATGGCCCCTGTGCCAGGACGACACACAATGTTGTGAAGTGTTCCATGTTTTTAGAAATCCAGAGGATCATCAATACCTACTTTGAGAACGTGTACTCTAATAAAATGGAAAACACAGAAGAAATGGACAGATTCCTAGATACAAATGAATTGCCAAAGTTAAATGAAGAAGATACAGAAATTCTAAACACCCCAATTACAATCACTGAAATTGAAAATGTAATTAAAACTTTACCAA